GAGGAGGGGAGGAGGGGGAGGCCAGAAGCACAGGAGTGACAGAAGATGCCTTCCTGGTAATGCTGTGACTGAGAAAGGAGCACGTGCACCGTGCCCAGCATCCCTCAGGCTGGACGACACACAGACAGAGCTGGCTGCAGAGCCGGCAGGAGACAGTGTGTCTCCCGAGGACGTACTGCAGCTGTTGAGTGGCAGAGGACCCCTCTTTGAGTGATGACTGGCTTCTCTCTCAGCGTGAAATCTTGTTCTCTAAAATCAAGGCCCTCAGAAACTTTGCTGTTTGAAGTTAGACAGGTACAAATGCAGCCCGCGTCCCTGAGGAATTTAAGTCACGCTGACACAGAGATGCAGCCTCGGTTTACGAGCCAGGTGCAACACGTCGCAGGAGGGGTTTCTGAGCACGAACTCTCCATTTACCGCACCTCTAAGAGGCTTCTAAGGAAACAGGCCCGAGTCTACTTTGCAGTTTGGACCTGAGTCGACCCATTACACACAGGCCGGCTCTACCCGCAGAGACGCTGCTTCATTCACACCCCTCCCAAACACCATCGCCTCCGAACCCTCTGACTCTGTCCTCTGTGCGGGCCATCTTCACTGCGAGGAATCGGCAGCCCGACTGCGGGGCCACAGGTCTGTCCCTAGTGTCCCTAGCCATTCTACTTTTAAGCTCTGGCACCGTATCACTCAGTGCTTCTTAACACTAGACAGTCAGCCTGCTTTGGGCCGGCTCTCCATGATCCCGTGATACCACCTCCCCCACGGGTGACCCGGAGAAGACAGAAAACGCCGGAGGTCACTCAGGGTTCTTCCAGTGACCCTCTCTGAAGCGGAGCCTGCCGTCGGCGGGGCTTACCTGGCTGAGGTTGAGAGGCTGCTGCTGCTGGAAATGAGGCCCCGGCCGCTGCTGCCGGTAGCCAGCGGCTCCGGACGAGCTCCCTGAAGAGTGGCCGCTGGTGGAGGTCACGTTGCTGGAGGACTTGGATTTGTAGGAGGACGAGTGGTGACTGGTGTTGACTGTGTGGGGAGGAGAAACAGGTCACAGATGAGTCACAGGTCCTCGGCTACCCGGAAGGCACTGCCCCACTAGGGGGCAACGGTGGCCTCGTCATTCCTGTGGCGGCCAACCGCAAACCAGCCCCGTCTCCCCCGGACCCCGTTAGGATTCTGCCCTGACTCTGGACTGGCCGCTGGGCTCTGGAATGTTCCACTGGCTGGGAGCAAACCTGTTAGACTTTAGAATTACGGTCTGGTGACATCGAAAGGCCTGGGGAGGGCCCAGCGGGGGGACGGAGGAGAGCTCTCTGCAGCTCCCCAGCGCCCCACCCCGGGCTGCAGTTGGGAACTACCCGCTGAGAGAGAGAGACAGTGACGCGTACAGCAGGATATAGATAACTGCATCTCGCGGAAAAAAAAAAAAGACCACACGTCTTGGAGGAACAACCGACCGGAATAAAACGAATAGGGTAATGAGTTTATATTAAATAAAGCATTTTAGTCAATTTCAGTGTCAGCGAACGATGAATACCAGCTCCCGGCAGAGTGGGACCTGTGTCTTGAGGGGGCTAAGTCAGAGGACTGTCACGCACGGGTGTAGGACGTGGCAGAATCGAGTGCTATGATCTCTCAGTATCTCCCTAGAAATCAAACGTTTCTCTCCTGAGGCTTTGTCTGGTACAGATGAATGGAAACCAAGATGAAACCATACATGGTCAATACGAAAAAGGCCTCTGGCACAGGGACTCCAGTCGCCTGCCGAAACCTGCGCTGTCCTCTGCAGACTTCCTGGGGGACTCTTAGACTGTCCACGTTTGAGGGAGCTGCCCAGAGTAGGGGTGGTCAAGAGCAGAACCACACGACACCCAGGGAGAGCTGGCAAGGATGGGCAGAGGCGTCAGAGGACAGTTTGCTCCTCGTCCTGCTCAGCAGCAAAATGCTGATTAGTGGCTGATGGAGAGAACATGGCCTCAGAGGCCTCAGCCTCATACGAAGGGCGAGGGCAAACCGGAAACCTGGGGACAGATCGGGTGGCCCACTCCCTGCCCCTCAGATAACAGCCCCCCCACCAGTAAAGGGAGAGCTGCCTCCCTGTGGAGGGGGACAGTGGGTCCTAACAGAGGCCCCCAAATCTGACCGTGCAGGGGAACCAGGTGGCCCTCCTATCCCATCCACTGAATCAGAGTCCTGAGGGGGTGCCTGGGAATCTGCATTCTTAACAAGCGTCCCAGGAGAGCCAGGGCCACGAGGCCCTGGTGTAGCTGACCTGCATTTGGGAATCAGGGTCCTGTACTCAAACTTGGACACTGAAAAGCCCTCTGAAACCTGGGGGCTGGAGGGCATTCAGGGGACCCGCCGTAGGGTGGAAGATGGAAGGCTCCTGCACTGGACTCACACTCCTTCCTGCTCCATGCTTGCTGCCTGGGCCCTGGCTGCGGAGCCCACCTCGCTGCTCCCGGTCAACCCTCGGGGCATTCTGCGGTCATCACATCTGAGGGAGGAAACCCTAAGCTTGAGGTATCCATTGCTGGAGTTTCAGGAGAAACGGGTGTGGCGGAGCCTGGCATTCGCCCGCTGCCATCATCACGGGAACGGAAGATGGGGGCAGAGTCAGAGCTTGTCAGGCTGTCAGAGCAGGAGAGCCTCGAAAATGGAGGGGGTTCCGAGGGAACCCAGAGATTAAAATAATGATTTGCTCCACAGAGCTGAATAAAGGGTCAGCGGAGTGGAGCAGAAGGCTCGCAGGGAAGGTCGAGCCGTGAGGGACATCTCGGAGCTCTCTGGCCAAGCCTTGCCCAGCTGCTCTCCTAGACTGTGTGGTTCCTGGGTGGCCTCCGGTGGCCCTGTCCCCACTAGGTGAATAGGAGAGTGTCTCCGGGAGGTCCAGCCACATGGCCTTGGCTGAGCTGGGCAACCCCTCTGTGCTTCTGTTTTCTTGCCTGTAAAACTGGGAAAATAAGTCACTACACGTAGGGTCGTCATGAGGACTCCATGAGTTAATAATGTGAGTGGGACACTTAGTATCTGGCATGTGTCAAGCTCTTAATAAGTGTTCGCTCTGTCAGCTATTGTTGGTGTCTTTACTACTGAGCCCTGTCCCCTGGCTAAAGCTGATGCTCAAGGAACAGGTGTCTGCTCCAAGCTGGACAACCACATCCTGGGGGGTCGCAGGGTCAGGGAGAAGCAGTGCCCAGGGACCAGGCATCAGGCCTCCAGCGGCCCAGGAACCAGGAGTTCTGGCCCCTACCCCTGCCTGGGACCTGGTTGTTGAATTTTCCCTCAGCCCTGCATCCCTCCAGTAAATTCTTCATTTGTGTTAACGCATAGCAGAGTTCCTTCTGTTGCTTTCCAAAAGAACCATAACTAACCCAAGAGGATATATAAGAAACCCTCAAGGACCCTTTCTGAGCTGGGAACCCCAGGAGGAGGGATGTAGGGATGAACTGTGGCCGCACAGTGTCCGTCCTGACTGGGGTGGGCTGGAAGCTCCAGCTGGCGTGGCTCCAACCGGTTTGCACCCGGGCCTGGATGAGTCAACTGGGCGCCAGGAAGCTGGGGAGGGCTGATTCCCTGATTTTTCTGCGCCTAGGTTGGTTTAGCAGCTAAGGGTATATATTAGAGTTGAGAAACACCACAGTCTGTGGACGGGCAGGCAGCAGAACAACGTTCCTTCCTGCCTCTTACCCGTCGCTAGAAAGACTGTGGGAAATTAGGCCGTGGGGTCTTCCCGAGATGGCGAAACCAGTGCCTTAGAGCCAGCAGCCTTACTGAGAATGACCTTCCATTTTTTTCTGTTGTTGTTGGAAATATTTCCCAGAGGTTCTCGGCTATTCAGGTAACTTTCTCTTTTACTTTAGACATGACGCAGTCCTTGTGGAAATGCAGTGGGGGCAGGTGCTCAAACTGCCACCTGCCACACGGTGCAATGGGTGATGATGGAAATGTAGCCCGAAAGGTGTAAGCTACGGACTCCACGGAGCTGTCCTCTCTTGATGCTCACCTTTGAGGTTTCCGAAGACTGAAAACTGCTGTGTCATGCTGGGCAAAGGTGGCCCTCCCCTGGGGTCGGACTAGTGGCCTTCCAGTTTCAGCAGTTCTTGTCACCATTTTGTCACCTTCCAGAGAGGCGCCTGCACCACGTCCTGACTCTCACTGTCCTGGATGGTAACACAGTGCAGCGCCTCCCAGTGTGAGACTAAGGGGACCCCAATGGAATCATTCTAGAATGTTCCTGAGGGACAGTGCCTTGAGAGCAAAGCCAAGCCATCTTTTAGGTGAGAAAAATGCAAGGCTGTCCAGGCTCGTTTTACTCAGGCTACGAACTCTTTGCAGACTCCCTACCCTGCCCGTCCACTCATGAGATAAAACTCAGCAGGAGGTGGCAGGAGGTGGCTGTCACAGGGAAGACGTTTTCTGTCAGAGGTGAAGCCAGCTTTACCTTAGGCATGAGGCAGCATTTCCATGTATTAAATGGGCTGAATCTGTAGTTTCAAGGTTTTGACAAACGTAGTTCAAGTACTTAAATAATGAAACGATATAGGACGTGACAGAAATTAGGCCCTTTGCAAATACTTAAGCGTAAAGCGGTGTGACAGATATAGTTTTAAACAATTTGAGGGATATCTGAGCAGAAGTACTGAGGGCTCCTTCTTTGAGGAGCCGTCTCCTGGGTGAACTCCTGGGTTTGCTAAAGGGTCCTGTGGTCGCTGCTGGACAGTGCGGCTTCCTGCCAAGGTGTCCACTATCGTCCTTGCCTGGGTAGACAGAGGTTCTGGGAGACAGAAGTCCTCAAGCTCAATACCATGTGGAATGGTCTATGGCACTGGGCTGGGCAAGTCTTCAAAGACCCCGTCCTGAATTGTATCCCTCACCCTCGGGTCATCCTTGGGGCAGTGCCTAACTCGCCCAGGCCGAGTGGGCCTTACCCATGGCGCCCACCCCAGGAAGGTTCCAAGGTCCCCTGGAGCACCACGTTTGAGGGAGCTGCCCAGAGTACAGACAGGGTGAGTACATAACAGCTAATGAACGACAGCTTCTCACGTCTAAACAAAATCGTTCGGCACACCATATCCCCTTCCTCCTAAATGGTGCTATCGTGAGGGCACCGACTGGCCCGGATGGTGACGGTTTGTGGCAGAAAAGCAGGACATGCAGATTTCTTCTGCGTTGGTCCCCAAATTCCTCCACCGGCGAGCCTGAGCAAGGGAGATGCTGAATAGATGCTACTAAACCTGGGCTGAGGCGCTAGCTCTCTGGAGGAGGTTAAACCTCTTTCTTCCACAACGAGCTGCATGGGACAGAAGGGATCCTTTTAATCAAGCAGCGTGTGGGGGAGAAGCGCATCTGCCATATCCCATCCTCCCACGTGACGTCCCAGGAGAAGTGAGAAGAGCCTGTTTCACCCTCGGGGACCAAGCCTCGAAGAGGTTCTTCCCATACGGCGGTCCCCACCACCAGGGCCTCTTGGAGGGAGTGACACCGGAAGTCGGTCAGCAACTCCCCACAGCGGGTGTCATTCCAGATAGGTGGATTAAGGAACGAGGCAGTGTTTATTTTATATTCATCAACCACGTCAGAGGGAGAGCCACCGCAAAGGCAGTGAGGTAGTAATTACAGAATGAAAAACCGAAAATGCTGCTCATAAGACGTGATGCTAAGCAGAATCCTACCGTGGCTCCGCAATCAGCCGCGCTTATCAGCTCTCACGTAACAAAACTGCTAGTAGCAGAAAACAGGAGAACCAGTCTCCAGCAGGCCCCAAATTACCTGGCACCAGGCTGTCGCATTCCACCAACACTTCGCTGGCCTGGGTTTTCAGGGGTGGCACGATGATGGTTCGGGGGTTCCCGGTGCAGTGATTCTCCAGGCTCCCCTTGGTGTCGAAGGTGCTGGCGTTGTGCCCGGCGCGGTGCTGCACGGAGTAGGGGCTGGTGTTGCTGGAGGAGTCGGAGTAGGGAGAGTCATGGACCGTGACACAGCTGATGACGTTTTTCCTCTGCTTGGAGACAGTGCTGAAAACAGAGGGAGACACTGGGACTGAAAAGCCGCTGTCAGTCCCCTGGGGCAGGGGAAGGAAGCGGAGCATGAGAGGGGGCAGCAGTGGGACTTCGGTGCTCACTCCATGACCCTAACGGAGAGGCAGGGCACGCGAGTGTCACCTGTCTAACAGGTAGAGGGGGACATATGAAGACTTGAGAAAGGGCTGGCGCTGAGCCCGCAGGTGCTTCTGGAAACCAGGGAGTGGGAAGCTTCTGGGTGGGCCTGGGCTCTCCCCGCTCCGTGGAATTCAGTGGGAGAGGCACCAGCCACCCAGCATGGCATGGCAATGCCCTCTGTACCACCTGAGGGCCCGGTCTGAGAACAACACTGCTGGACGGGGTCAGCACGAGCTTAGGCTGGGGCTGGGGGATCCAGCAAACTTAGGCACAGGGATGGAACACCCGAGAGAAACCAGGATGCAGAGACGGGTGGGAAATGCAAGGCTCCGAGGAGGCGGAGCCCACAACACAGTTCGCATGTGCTGAGGAGGGGAAATCGGAGCTGGACTCGACACCCGGCCATCTTTCTGCTGTGAGGGTGCTGCGTGGGGTGTCTGGGTGCTGCAGGCCCCCCAGCACCCCTGAGTTCCCTTCTCAGGGGCGGCTTGGCGCTTGGACCAGGGAGGAGACAGCACTGAATGGAAGCGAGGTCAGGGGGCGTCTGCCAGGAGGATACCTCCGAGGGAGTGGCTCTCGACCCCTGCTCTTCATCCTGGAGGAACCAGCTTCGGATGGCTCTTGACCAGGTTGTTTTTTCCCCGGAGATATTTGTGTTTATGTGGTTACTTTGGGAACCGATTCTGTGTGCCTCCAAGCTCAGCGAGAGGCAGGTGAGATGATGAATATGAAATTTGTTATTTACTCTGAAGGCTTTAAAAATGGATTTTCACCTATTTTTGTAGATTGACCATCTATTTTTAAGAACGATCAATTGTCTAAGTAAGACGGTCAGTTTCCAACTAAGTTGCCAAGAGAAGCTGGTATTTATAGAGGACTAACGGGATGCCAAAAGCTCCGAGGTGTCTTGGCTAAGGTCACACGGCCGGTCACAGGCCAGGTTCTTTCCGAGGTCGTTCTCTGCCCCTAAGCGCAGCAGAAAAGTGGGCAAACCCAGGTGCCCCAGGCGGCCAGGCAGATGGTGAGTGGAAGGACAGCAGGCCTGCTAACCCACAAAAAGGTTGGAGGCGCTGGGCGGGGAGCCCACAGGTCTGGCCCCCCGCTTCCCACAGTACTGACACCTGGACTGGATAACCAATATAGTGGCTGCACATTCTGTCCTCCCCGTTCAGGGTAGAAGGGTTCCTCCCTAACTGTGTCCGTGGATAAGAACATGGGCCCTGCAGCCAGATGGCCACGTCAGCACCAGCGGGTGGTGTGGCCTTGGACATGGCCTTGGGCAACTACTCAACCTGAGTGATTCAGTCTCCTTATCAGTAAAATACAGATAATAGTGGCTATTTCATGTCTGTTTTGAGAATTAAAGGAGAAACTACATGAAAAGTACATAACGTATAGTAAGTATTCTATAAAAATTAGCTGCTATTATTATTATTACTATTAGTTGTGGTACCTTATTTAACATGTGAAAACACGTTTGCAAAATATGTACCCAGAGTAAATTATAATAAGGCACGGACTTGCTGGAAAAGTTCCCAGTCTATGAATAAAGTAGAAGATTGATATGAAAGAAATTGAAACTCATCAGTTAGATATCCTGGAGGTCTTTGCCAGGTGCTACAGGGAATTCCTGAACAAAGAAATACATGTTTCTGCCCGGGAGGAGATTAAAATCTCAGTGGGGAACTGTATAAAAACATGACAAGTTAAACAGTGAAAGCTTTAAAATAATGAGTTAAAGAGAATAATGGATGTCACAAAGCCTTCCACGATGAACTGTCAAATGATTTGAACAGATGATAATTGCTAAGAACGCAAAAGAAAGCGAGGAATGAGCATATATTTATATCTCTTCACATTAACTTTGATAAAATAAATTTTAATAATAAAGACCTACACTTTCCACTTATAACCGTTTAAATGTATACGCTTGCTCCTGAAAAAGCTGAACAGAGAGTTACCATGTGACCCAGCAATTCCGCTCCCAGGTACGTGCGCAAAGGAACAGAAAGTAGTCACGCAGACAGACGCCTCACGCCGGTGTTCGCAACAGCATTATTCACAGTCGCCAAAAGGTGGAAACAACCCAAGTGTCCATCAACACGTGACTGGATAAACAAAATGTGGTATATCCACACAATGGAATATTATTCAGCCATTAAAGCGAATAAAGTCCTGATGAATGCCACAGTATAGATATACCCTGACAATATTATGCTAAGTGAAAAAAGCCAGACACAAAAAGACAGATACTGTACGATTCCACTTACATGAGGTACCTAGAATATGCGAATTCACACAGAGAGCGGGTTAGAGGTGACTGGGGGCTGGGGGAGGGAGGAGCAGGGAGTTGTTGCTCGTGGGCAAAGACTTTGCTTGGGGTGATGGAAAAGTGCTGGAAATAGTGGCAAACACATTTAATGTCAATGAATCATATGCTTAAAAATAAACAGCAAATTATGTGTTATATATATATTCTACCACAATTTAAAAAATTAATGTAATATACAAAACCCCACTGAATTATATACTTTAAATGAGCAAACTGTATGGCACGTGAATTGCGTCTCGAGTTTTTAAAAGTCCAGATGCTTGTTCAGAAACAAAAAAGCAAATGGCGTTAGTGTGGGGGGCGGGCATTAAGATTTGGAACAGGAAAGCTGGGCGCCAACAAAGATCCCTGAGGCTATAAGATCGGGGGAAAGAACCCAAGAGCAGCAGGACACGCGGAAAGCTCTGGAATCAGGAGGAGGGAGCACTGGAAGGGAGGAGAGCTGCTTCAGAAACACAGACAAGCGAAGCCGGCACCTGTTTGCTGTGGCGGGCGGGGCTGGGCAGGGGAGTGGACCTCCCTCCGTGCCTGGTCTGCTGCGTAGCGAGATGCTATGGAAGGGAACCTGCCTCTCCTCCTCCCGCACCCCCACCAAGGGGTCCCAGGGCGGGTTAGTGGCCTGGGAGGCATGACCATGTAGCTCCCAGTTCCCGAGGGGATGCAGGGAGATGGTGCTGCCCTGCCCTTCATGCTTGGCTTTGGTCACAGCTGGTTTGGCGTGATTGACACGAACACACAGTGGTTTGTCCGGTCACCTCACAGACTGCAGACGTGTTCTGTTGCAAGTGCGTGGTCTGGGGGTGGAGCGGGGCACACCAAGAACGGAGACTGATGTGCCCTGGTTCCGCTGTCTATACCGGTGTGCTCCTGGACTGGCTGGGAGTCGGTGTGCCCCCTTGACATCCTTCCAGCTCCAGTGCTATGAAATCCCTTAGGGAGAGCAGCACTGAAGGATCCACTGTGAGGACCCTTTTCCTGACTTAAAGATTTATTATTAAAGACACTTAACAAGATTTGGTTTACTCCTAATCTGGAGAGGAAATAAGTCCCTCACATGTGGCTCTAGATGCAGCCAATTCCCGCTGACCACATCTTCCTCAGGTTCTGAGTAGTTTAGAAAATAAGTGAATTAAAAATAGCACACGCGCAACACTAATTTTGGCCAAGTTGTAACAAAATTCGAACTGGACACACTCCAAATTCTTCACTCAAATTTGGAAATTGTGGAGAAGCTTCAGCTCAATATGAGTAAGGATTTTCTGACAAGTGCAACTAACTGGACCTACGACGGCCACTCCGTGAATCAGTGAGCTCCCTGTCACGGAAGCATGGCTTCCTGGCGGGTCTCAAAACAGCTGAAACTTGGTCTAGATGACCTGTCAGATCTCAGCCATCGCCTGACGGAAACCCAACAGGTAGAAGGCCTCTGCGTTGAAAAGGCTGAGGAATCCTGTGTGTCCCTGTCATGACGTCTACCCAAGAGTGTGGGATGAAGCCTCTACGAACTGCCTGGGTCCTTTTTGCTGGAGCTGGGACATCCCTACGCCCGATGAACACACAGGTACAACACAGTCCGGTGCTGCTTTATCTCCCTTTCTGGGTTTACACGTGTTAGGTCTGGAAATGGTGAATTAATCTGATAGCTGTTTTTAATCTCTTCTGTTGTTAGAAACCTCTGTGCTCTACCTGAACACTCTATGCAGATTATAGAACAAACAGGAAGCTGCTAAGTGAGTCACTTTAAAAAGGAGCACATATTTGACATTACTTGACATTATTATTTGAGTCTTTAGGCTCAAATGTTATCGATTTGACTGGGATTCATTCCACCGTAGTGTCTAATTAGTGTTGATCGCTTATCAATCCCATTATGAATTGGTTAATGGAAGGGAGAGACAGAGTAAGCAGAATGAGAAATATTTGTTTAAATGGTCTTGACAGAACATCACTTCTGAATAAAGAACAAAGCTGCCAGAGTTCACGACTGCATTGTGTTGTCATGGCAATAGACGATTTTCATCATTTTAAAATGACAAAAAGAAATAAGGAGCTAAGAAATGATCAGCCCCAACAGAGACAACACTGCTGGAGGATCAGCTACAAACCCATGACCCTTCCCTGTGGGCCCCCATCTGCACCGTGCTTCTGATTTCTCTGCCAGTCTGGGTCAATCCCATCCTTCAGGACCAGGGTCAAAACTCATCTCCACCAGTAAACCTTCCACGACTAATTCCACTCTGATCCCAGAGAGTCAATGCCATGAGTGAAAAACACTACTCTTCGATCACTACGACACTGATTACTAAGTATAGGTAACATTTATTGGATGTATAACAACTACTGTAGTTCAGGTTTGAACCAAGAGCTAGGATGGTATACATATATATATGTATGTATATGTGTTTACCCCATTGGTATATATGTGTGTGTGTGTTTGTGTGTGTGTGTGTGTGTGTGTGAGTGGAGAGAGAGAGAGAGAGAGAGAGAGAGAGACTAAGCATGGTCTTAGCTGTATTGATTTTTT